GTCCAGAAGCTATTCAGCGGGTTTCCAGAGCAGCGTGCTTTGTGTCCCCGGGCCAGCTCTGCTGGACTCAGCCCTGCGTGCAGGGGACCCAGAGCCTGGCGGTCCCCCGTCGCACATGGCCCCGGGAGTCCTTGTAGAATGCCCTGGCTCTGAGCAGGGATCTGGAATAGCCACGGCCAGGGGGCCTTCCCCCAAGCGTCTGCTTCCACGTGGAGGTACGGGGAGGGTGTTCCTTCCGACGGCGGCAGGGCCGGGTGGTGGCGGATCCCGCTGAGCAGCTGGTTCCCCTTGGGGTGGGGGGCTTATGGGAGCTGCCCTGAGCTGCCTGGGCTGGGCTTCTGGGTGCTTGTGGAGGGCATCTGAGGAGGTAGGGTTGGGGAGTGGGGGGCTGGTGGGGCCCGGGGGACACATGGCAGCAGCAACCAGAATGCAAGGTGAAGGTAGGATTTGTCGAGAGGGCATCCACTGGACATGGGCTCCGCGTGGAAAGCTTTGCTCTGGGTCACACTTGGTGTCCGAGATCCGGTCTCCTCTGTGTCCGAGACAGTGGTCCATACTGCCCTCCATCTCCATCTGACAGATGGGAGATGAACCTCCCCAAATTCCCGTCCACCCAGATTTTGTGAACGTGACCTTACTTGGAACAGAGACTTTGCAGATGTAATCAAGATGCGGTAGTTCTGGGGTAGGATGTGCCACGCTCCAGTGGAGCGCAGGGATGCAGCAGGCTCCCCTCGCAGCCTGGACCCGTCCTCGGGTAGGGTGGGTGGGGAGTCCTGGTGTCTGGTCCTGAGCTGACAGCAGCATGGATGGTTCATCCTTTTGAAGGGCCCAGGGAGCCTGGGGGAGCAGGAGGGACAGGGACGGGCCGGGCCTCTGGGAGCCCCTCGTTTGGGTGGGCTGTGTCTGGACCCCCCACCACAGGCTGACATGAGTAGCCGGCAGGAGGAGCCCAGGGTTGGGGTGAGCTGGCGGCTGGAGGGATGCGCCCCTGGCTCGCCGAGGCGTGCATTGTGTTCTGATGGTGCAGGGCTGGACACTCGGTGCTTTGTCCCTTATCCTGCTGCTGCCACCTCATTGGCTTGCTGGAGCTGAACTGGGAAGGAAGGCAGCCCCAGCTCCAGGGCCTGTAGAGAATCCCAGATGGTGAGAACCCACCCAGCCAGAGCCTTGCAGGAGGTGCAGAGCTTGGCAGGTGTGAGGCCAGCCCTGAGCCCTTTTCTCCAGGCACAAGTCAGCTAGGTGTCCCCGCTCCTGAGCCGTGGCCCCCGCCTGGCCCATCCCCTCCACCCCACGTTCCTCTGATGCCGGATGCCGAGGAATCCCTCAGGTCTTTTTGGAAATGAGAGGAAATGGGTTTTACGTTGCTGTACTTCCCGTACCCAGGTTTTTATTTTCATAGTTTAAAAAGCAGTAGGAACGCATTATAGGCCATCTGGAGAGAGTTTTACAAACCACCCCATGCGGGGGCCTGTGTTACCTTTGGTCCTTCTGGACACCTGTTTGCCATCACGGTGCGCGGGGCGGCAGCGTCTGTCACTCGGGCCGGGGTCCTGTGCGAGTCCAGGTGATGCTCAGCGTCTGTCACTCGGGCCGGGGTCCTGTGCGAGTCCAGGTGATGCTCAGCGTCTGTCACTCGGGCCGGGGTCCTGTGCGAGTCCAGGTGATGCTCAGCGTCTGTCACTCGGGCCGGGGTCCTGTGCGAGTCCACGTGATGCTCAGCGTCTGTCACTCGGGCCGGGGTCCTGTGCGAGTCCAGGTGATGCTCAGCGTCTGTCACTCGGGCCGGGGTCCTGTGCGAGTCCAGGTGATGCTCAGCGTCTGTCACTCGGGCCGGGGTCCTGTGCGAGTCCACGTGATGCTCAGCGTCTGTCACTCGGGCCGGGGTCCTGTGCGAGTCCACGTGATGCTCAGCGTCTGTCACTCGGGCCGGGGTCCTGTGCGAGTCCAGGTGATGCTCAGCGTCTGTCACTCGGGCCGGGGTCCTGTGCGAGTCCAGGTGATGCTCAGCGTCTGTCACTCGGGCCGGGGTCCTGTGCGAGTCCAGGTGATGCTCAGCGTCTGTCACTCGGGCCGGGGTCCTGTGCGAGTCCACGTGATGCTCAGCGTCTGTCACTCGGGCCGGGGTCCTGTGCGAGTCCACGTGATGCTCAGCGTCTGTCACTCGGGCCGGGGTCCTATGTGAGTCCACGTGATGCTCAGCATGCCATGCCTGCCCTTGTAGGTGTGGCCTGCCCATGCGCCGTGCTGCTGGGTCCCATCCCGCCGTGGGGGCGACACACTCCCCACATGTTGGGTTCGCGCTCAAGAGGCAGAATCGCCGGCTCCGAGGGCGTCTGCGTTCACAGTTCCCGCTGCCTTCTGCAATGCGGACTGCCTTGTATTTCCTTTTTAGGGAAGCTGGAGGTTTGTGCTCGAGTGGTAGGTAGATTTCCTCTGGCTATGAATTCCTGTGCTCAGGGAATTGGCCCGTCTGTGCCCCGGGGTCCTGTAGCTTTTGCCCACGTACTGGAGCGGTCTCAGGGCAAAGAGAGTAGTCCTTCGTGGACCACGTTGGCTACACCCTGGTGGCACTGCATTTGTTTTTAACAAGTGGGAGTTTGGGGGCGCGTGGGTGGCTCGGTTGGTTGAGCGTCTGCCTTCTGCTCAGGCCATGGGGGTCCTGGGATCAAGTCCCGCGTCGGGCTCCCTGCTCACCGGGGAGCCTGCTTCTCCCTCTCCTTCCACCCCTGCCTCATGTTTGTGCGCATGCTCTCTCTCTCCTCTCAAATAAATAAATAAATAAATCTATAAAAAACAAGTGGAAGTTTGTTTCTGTCCACTTGACTGTTACTCTTTCATGCTGTGATTATTTTTGTCATTTCTCTTAAACAGACTGTTACCCCCTCTCTGGGGACTTGGTCAGCACAAAGTTCTCTTTTCTTTAGGTTTCTTTTTTTTTTCTTTTCTTTTTAAGTTTTCTTATCCGTTTCATCTATGTGGAGCTCACAGCAGCTGTTTTTCCAGGTGGCCGGCCCACGCCCCCGCCCACATGCAAGCAGCCTGCTGCCCTGGCCCCCCACCGCCCCTCATGGCTGCCCACGGCCACCCTGGCCTCCCTGAGGCTATCCTGGCCCCCACAGCCCCCCAAGACTGCCCATGGCCCACCACAGCCCCACACGGCCACCCAAGGCCCCCCCGGCCCCCCACAGCCCCCCTCGGCATCATGCACTTCTGGGCTTTCCTGGGTCCTGGGGGCATTGGGCATTGGGTGTCCTGTCGTTTTTGCCACCAGGCCTACCCCGGGCCACCTTGTAGTGCCCCAAGCGAGCTCTGGGATTCACCTGACCCAGGAGCCCCTGCTAGCCCCTCCCTCCACGTGCCCCACACCCTTCTGTTCTCTAGACCAGAGCGGGTTCTGGTCCGTCTGGCTGGAGTCCTAGGAGCCCCACTGTTGGGATCACTGCTCGGGCAGGAAAACTTGCTGAGGGGGGCGGAGGGCCCTCGCGGGGTGGGCAGACACCCTGGGCCGTGATTTAAGAGTCTTTCGGGAGTTTTTGTGACTGCACAGTCCCAAACAGGAAGTACTTTCCCCTGACTTTGTGGTTCTCCCTGAGACATCCCAACTGGGACAGTTAGGGCTGAGTTGATGGATTCCATCCTGCTTAGCCCCCTCCCTGCCCGCCTTGCGTGGAGATGCGCGTGTGTTTACTGGGGCCAGCGTCCGGCTCCTGGTGTGCGTCATCTGGAGCTTCCAGAACACTGGCCTTTATTGGTGGTGCTCCTTCAGAGGCGGAAGCCGAGGCCCAGAAAGGTGGTAAGCAGCAGAGAAGGCTTGGAGCCCTGTTGTGTCCAGAGTACCCCCCCTCCTGCAGGGACCCAGGGCCTCTTGTAGACGTTGGGGGGCTGGGGCCTGTGGGAGACCCCAACTTGCAGCCCTGGGCCCAGGGGCTGTGTGACTGGGACTCGGGTTGCGGTTTGTGGCTTCTGCTGCAGGCTTCGGAGTGAGGTTGGCTGGATGTGCAGACGAGCCACTCATACTCTGCCCCGGGGGCCTGGGGGGTCGGCTTGCCTCTCCTGGCCAGGTTGGTGCAGAGATATGGGGCACCCCACTACATGTCCATCTCTGGGTGAGCATTCGTGTTTGAGCTCCCACATGTCCTCCCCTCCCTGTGACTCATGCCAGGTCTTTGTGGCAGTGGTTTCGGGCTGGAGGGGGCAGGCAGGCAGCCTTCTTTCTGCGCCTGTGGTCTGGGGCTGTGCCGGGCCAGCAGGCGGGCGAGCGCTGGGCTCCTGACCAGCCCGTGTGTGGGAAGACCTCTCTGAGCAGGACCTTAGCAAGCTGAGTGAGGGCTGGCCGGGTGAGCAGGGAGGTGCTTTGGGCAGACAGAGCAGGCTGGGTTGTGTCCCTGGGAGGGGGACCAGGCCGAGTCAGGGGACACGAAGCCAGGGCACTGCTGGGCTCAGAAGGGATCTGCTGAGACACCCTAATGCCGAGCATTCCAGCGGTTTCTGGGCGTTTGCTGCTGTCTGAGCGGTGTGCGTAGCTACAGCCTGGACCGCGCCCTTGATGGCTGGCTTCTTAGGGCGCTTCTGAGGAGCGGTCAGGCGCCCTCCCCTTTTCTTTGAAGCTTTTCCGCCCTAGCTTTCCCCAGGCTCTCTGGCCTCCCCGTGCACTAGGCTGGCCATCTTTATTGCCGGGAGGATCCTGCTGACTTGGCTTCCTTCTGCCTTGTGGGGCACATGGGGGGAGGTGACTTTGGTGGAGCCAGGGGCAGGAGCTTGGCCAGCCAAGTGGGAGTGATGGAGGGGCCCAGGCTGATGGGTGCCAGGTGGGAGCCATTGGGCCCCGAGTTTTCCTTGAAAAGCCAGCCTAGCCACTTCCTGAGGGCAGGGCTCGGCCACAGGACCAAAGTGTGTGTAGGAGAACCATGTGCTCGGGCGGGTGGGTGCGTCATGGGGACAGGTGGCCAGTGGGCGAGTGACCGAGTGACCGAGCCTCTTCTTTTCTTCTCTTGCAGGGACTCCGACCGTCATGTTAAGGTAAAGCAGAGGGGCTCAGTGCTGAACATGCTAAGGAGGCTGGACAAAATCAGGTTCAGAGGTCACAAGAGAGATGACTTCCTCGATCTAGCAGAGTCTCCAAATGCCTCAGACACCGAATGTGGAGATGAAGTGCCCCTGAAAATACCTCGGACCTCGACCCGGGACAGTGAGGAGCTGAGGGACCCTGTGAGTATGCCATGCGGGCCTCAGCAGCGGGAATGTCCTCCTCCTCTGTTTGGCCTCAGTCCCGGGTGGGCGAGGGGCCATCCGCCATCCTCAGATGGTCAAGCTGAGCCCTGTCCTGCCTGGTCCGGCTTCCCCTCTGTCCTTGTCTTGCTCCCCACCGGACCTCACTGGCAGGTGCTCGTCCCCCTGATCGAGGATCACAGAGCCTTGCCTTTACCACGGGTCCGTCCAGCCACTGGATTTCTTTTCCTTCCTCATTGGCTTCCTGGGTGGTTGGCAAACTTCTCATGGGGGAGTCATGCAGAGAGCCCTCGGCAGCTGGCTGAGGCCGGGCTGGGCCCTCATCGTGCCATGTGGAGACAGAGCTGGCCCCTGTGGGCTGGTCTGCAGGGCTCTCTTTAACGGGGCACCAAATATCCATTGAGCACCTCAGCTAGGCAGCGTGGCTGTGGCGGGAACCGGGCTTGAGTGGGCCCTGTCTTCCAGAAGCTTGTGCCTCTTCAGCCGGGAGTGGGGCCGGGGCGGAACAGGCTCTCTGGCCAGATGTGATTGCAAGGCTCACCATTGTGGGCACAGCTGCCCGAGGGTTCCCCTTTGCCAGTGAAGAAGCCCAGAGCCATCTTACCTGGTGTGGATGACCTAAGTCGGTGGTCCGTTGGTTTCCTCTCTGAGCACTCGAGCCAGCTTTTCTCCCCCGGTGTGGCCTGTGAGCGCTCGCCTGCTCTGGTTTCTTATATTATTAATGCCTTAGAACAGGGACTACGAGTTTGCTCCTGGCAGGAATGAATAATTTACTGGCACTGCCTCCTGGGAGCCAGGCTGCCTGCTCAGGTGTTGGCCGCTGTCCCCGTGTAGGTGGGCTGGTCCTCCAGCCTCGGGGTCCGTGGTGTGTTGCAGAGCGCCGCGGGCCGGCGGCAGCCGGGGGCACCATGAGCCGCGGTTCTCCGTGGTGGTCCTTGGGCCGAGTGTGCCATGGCCTCTCAGGAGCGTGACTCCCCACGTGGGGGTCTGAGCTCACTGCGGGGTGTGACAGAGATCCTGCAGTGGACTCGTCTGGCCCCATGCTCTGTCTGTCCATCCGTCTAGGACTCCGCGGCAGCCACTTTGCTGTGGGTGCCTTCTCAGTAGAGACCTGGACTTGCCCTGGAGCGCAGCCCCCGGCGTGGGGATGGCGGCCGAAGGTCCAGAGGGTCTGCAGGGCCGGGCCCGTGCCCCACTGAGGTCGGGTCTGAGGCTGCAGGGAGGCCTGAGTGATGGTGGCGCTGGAATGTGCCGTCGATGCGTTGACCACTCCCCACTGAGGGACCCTCTCCCCTGGCCCACATCCCTGGGGTGGGCGTGCTGGGCCTGTGCTGTCTGTTGTCCTGGTGGCTGTTACCAGGTCGCCTGCCCACCCTGCCACGGCCCGGGGTGTCGTCCCACGGCTTTCTGCTCTGCCGGCCGAGCGGGTGGAGAGCATGGCTCTGATTCCTGGCTGTTCCTGTGAGGGAGGCTGGTCATCTTTGTGCTTAGGCTTTGGGTTCTTTTTACTTTATTTCTTGTTTGTTGCGGTAAAATATAGCTAAAACTCACCGTTTTGGCCACTGGTACGTGTACAGGGCATTAAATGCATTCACAGTGTCGTGCGACCGTCACCCCATCTGTCTCTAGAACATCGTCCTCACCGCAAGCGGAAGCCCCTTCTCCATTAAACACTGACCCCCACACCGTCCCCCAGCCCCTGGCGCCCACATCTACTTTCCGTCTCTGTGGACCGACTGGCCCAGCGACCTGCAAGAGAATCCTGTAGTACCTGTCGGTTCGTGCCTGGCTGGTCTCTGGGTCCTGGGCAGAGATGAGTGGGCGCAGGGGTGGAGGGGAAGGGCGTGGGCAGGGGAGGGGTCCTGGGCTGGCAGACAGGCTTGAGGAGGCCCAAGACAGTGGGATGTGTGGGGAGAGCGTGCAGCAGTTGGGGTGATATCCAGCTTCAGGGTGTGGCTGAGGGGGGAGGGCCGCTGCAGATGAGGACAGGGACTGAGGCCAGGGCCGACCGGGTGGGTCAGTGACAGGCCAGTGAGGAGAGGTGTGACGGGGAGGGTACCAGAGCCCTAGAGCTGGGGACAGACAAGTGACCCCGCGCACGGGAGGCCAAGGGGCAGACTCTTCTAGGAGCAGGAGGTCCTGCCCTGAGGGGCTGCAGGGGAGCCCAGGAGGTGGGGAGTTGGAGGCCACCATTCTAAGGGAGCTGGAAGGAGAAGTGGCCCAGCCCACTTCCCTGGCTTTATGGTTGTGATGCTGCGGCCTTGGGGGTTTGCTCAGCTGAAGGGACCCGAGGGGCTCACACCTCAGAATTCCCGAGTGCCGCCCCTGGGGCCCGCCATCCCCATCGGTGCTCCCTGCCAGCTGGTCAGCTCCCTGGAGCAGCCCCTTCTCCTCCCTGCGGTCCACGGGGCTCTGGCTCAGAGCTGCCTTCAGCACCGAGCACCCAGAACCCTGAACCCCCATCCAGGGGGACCCTGCGGGGATACTTGATGCTCTGGGGCAAGTTCAGATGGACTTCGTTCCAGCGTCCTAGAGACTGATGTGCATTACAGCCTCCGAGGGCTTGGACTCATGCATTTGGACGTGGCCCCGTGAATGGGGGCCGTCCTGCCCGCTTTCGGGGAGGAGTTGGCAGTTGTAACGGAGGTTGAGTGTTCTGCTTCCACGTCCGTGCAGAGCCGCTTTTCCTGGCCAGTCTCCGCCCTCTGCCGTGTGGCCACCGCCTTGGTTGTCAAGGTGGGGGACGGGCAGGGGAGGGATGAGTTCGTGCGCAGGGGGGATGGGTCTAGCATGTGCCATCTGCCCCGTGGCAGGGCAGGTAGAATTTGCCTGCCTTCCACCCCACTCCCCCAGGCCCTGTGCCCACTGCTGCCTGGCCCCCAGGGCTGCAGGGAAACATGGGAACTCGCCCCAGCGGCCAGAGGAGCTCAGAGTCCAACAGGGCAAGAGTCCGGGCAGCCACAGGCCAGGGGGTCTTCCCAGAACCTGCTGGCTCCTGGACGTCCGCTCCTCCTTCCTGAGATGTGGCCTCAGAGCAGGCGACACGTGTATATGCAGGGGTCTGTCCTGCACCCTCTCCGGGCTGTGTGTCCCCTTCTCCCCTCACCTGGCCTGCAGGGGGGTCATGGAAACCCAGACTGGGAGTCGGATCCCCCTCGTCGCTTGGGGAGGCACACGGGTGCTGCTTCTCGCTAGCTCAGCACGAGCGTGCAGCTGTGGGTGGCGTGGGAGTGTCCAGTGTGTGTGCCTGGGCAGGCGTGGTGGTGCTGACCTGTGCCGCACCCCTTCCCCTCCCGACGGCCGATGCAAGCGGCCGCCTGTGCCAAGGCCCTGGGCGGGCGGCAGCGGGCAGCGGTGACCGGAGCCTGCCCTGCACCCCTCGGACGTTAGGCGGTGGTTTTACTTCGTCCTCTGTGCAACAGGACAGGCCCCGTTTGGAGTTTGCTCATGTCAGGGAGCCACTGTGCCTTCAGATTTACGCAGCCTGGCCTGCGGACATGCCCTCCCCAGCCGCCTTGCATCCTGTCAGTCCAGCTCCGGGCTGCGAGGGGGACAGGGCCTGCGGCTGGGCTCACCCTCCTCCTGGGAGGCCAGCGCAGGTTTGGATGGTTGCCTTCCCTCCGCAGCCTGAGACTGGCGTGACTATCAAGAGGCTTAGCGTCACGCTTCTGGCTTTAATGTTTTTTAATCATTTCTAAAAGCTGACCTCGCTGGGCTCCAGGGATGTCCACGTTGTCCGAGATGTCCCTTCCAGCGGCAGGTGAGGCCGAGGTGAACTGATGCGGGCTTCGGCAGAACAACACCTTCCTTGCCCAGCAGGGGCTCTGTTGGCCCAGCCCTTGCCGAGGAGGGGTCCTCAGGGCTCGCCTCTGAGAAATGGGGTGCTTGGAGGTGGCTCCTCTGAGCTCTTGGTGTTTCTCTTGTAGGCTGGTCCGGGGACCCTCATCATGGCTGCAGGAGTCCAGGACTTTAACCGGACAGAGTTTGATCGATTAAATGAGATCAAAGGTCACCTGGAAATCGCCTTATTGGAAAAACACTTCTTACGTGAGTACCCCTGGGTGGGGTGATGGAGGGAATGCAGTCCTGCAGACGTGCAGCAGGGTGTTGGGGCTGGTGAAGCCCCGTGCCTGCTGTCACCGGGCTCGCTCGTGCTGGGGACACGTGTGGCCCCCCGTGTGACGTCCCCAGCGGAAGCTCCCTGTGCTGCTCCACCAAGACCAGCGCTCTTGTCCACATGCCACAGGTCTTTACTCTGGGGTAAGGGAGGATGTCCCAGGGAGGCAGGGATTTTGCTGCTTCTGACGGATCTGGGGTGTTGCATTTCCGGCAGTTGGCTTTCATACCGTGTTCTGTTTAGTTTCGCATCAAGGAGGGAGGATGAGCCCAAGGGGTTCGTCGTTGGGTGGCCGTCCGTGTTGGTATGTGGGCCATTCCCTGCCGCTGTGGTTTTGGCCTCTTGGGTGCAAATGGGAGAGACTGCTGTGGGGGCGTCTGCCAGCTCCTCGTGGAGATGATCTCATCTGACTCCTGCCTTGGCTCTCTCACCACCCTCTGTCCTGCTCTCCAGACCGGAGCCACAGGGCTCGGGTGAGGGCCCCCGCGCAGGGACAGCCCCCCGGCTGGGAGGGGATTTAGAGCAGGCAGATTGCCGTGGCGCCCGCGCGCATGCCCTGCTGCGCCATACGGAGCTTCCACAACTGACACCAGGGCCAGAGCAGAGCTGCTGGGATGACCCAGGAAGAGAGAAGCAGCCTCCTGGCCCCGCGCGCCCAGAGCCGGCCCGGAGCTGCCGGGCCAGGAGGAAGGGCCCGCAGGCAGGTCCCCCCTCTGCTTTCCTTCCCTTGCGTCTGCTGGCCCACAGACACCACTCCCTCCATGTCCCTATGGGCGCCGCCCCCCTCGTCCACACACTGGGGGTTTTCGGGGCTCCAGCCGTGGGCCCCCCAGCTCTGCAGCTACGTTGGCCCCTCGCCTGCACGTGACAGCGGGTGTCTGCACCGTGGTGGGGAGCCTTGGGGCCTGGCCCTGCCTTTTTCTCCTGGAAGCAGGGGACCTGGCTGTCCCAGCATTTCTGCACAGTGTCCTGCCACCCGGGGGCTGCAGCCCTACCTTCCTTCAATTCCTCTAGCCTGTCCACGCTCCCTCGGCACAAGTGTGTGTGCACGTACGTGTGTACAAGATCATCGACGGTGTGTGTGCAGGTGTGGTGTCTTCCCTCTTCCAGCCGGGCTGGAGCACCCATGGTTCTGAGGACAGTGCTGCGGAACGACTCGGTCTCCCCTCAGAGTCCAAGGTCGTCGCCGGGCGGCTCAGACAGGCAGGGCCAGGCTGGGTCAGCCCGGGGCTACGGGCGGTGATGGGCCCGCCTGATTAGGTCCTGGTGACCTGGTGCCTGTGACCTTGGCCTGTGCTGAGGTCCCGCAGGGAGGCTCTGCATGAACGGAGGGGCAGGCTGCCCCACTGGTTCCCTGGCCAGTCCGGACAGAGCTGGACAGACCCTGCCCCAGGCATCGGCTGGTGGAGCCTCGTGCGGTGCCTTTGTGGATCAAGTGGCCAAATACAGGTGGTTTCACGGGGGCTTGATGAAGCAGCAGAGCCAAGTGCCGTCCATGTCTGACTTGGGAGCCCCAGCCGGGGAGGGGAGCAACAGGCCCCCGGGAGCAGGGGTTACCTGGCAGAGGCGGGGCAGGTGGGATGCACCTACCGACCAGGCAGCTGGGCAGGCAGGATGGCTGGGACTCACAGGGACACCTCTCTGGGCCGACCCTTTCTGCATCCACCCCCCCAAGGTGCTGCGCGGCTGGTGTCCTCGGTCCGTCCTCATGGTCTGTCCTCGGTGTTTTGCCAAAGGAGCATCTCGTTTACTTTTGGGCAGCTCATGTCGTAGAAGCATAAGGTGCAATCAAGAGGCAGTGACGGGCATTCTTTTAAACTGTGGAACATTTCAAGCAGATATAGAAGCAGAGTATCTCACATGCTCACGTTCGGCTTCGGCAAGAGGCAGCCGGCGGCGGGCAGGTGGCCCCCACCACCCCGGCTTGGGAAGCCAGTCCTGCCGGCCTCCTGTCCTTCATCTGTACTTTTCAGTTGGCAGCTCGTGGTGTTTTAAAAATGAACGCCACGCGTCTGATATCACAGCTGAAAACATCAAGTTGTCCTTTCTAATCTTCAGACCTCCAGCCCGAGCTCAGATTTCCCCGATTGTCTCCTTTTTTTTGCAACTCCTGGAGTAGGCCCCCAGGCCCCATGTTGAGTGGCTGGTGCTGGTTCTCTGCGTCCCTTGCTCTCTGTGGAGGAAACCAGGCCTGTCTGGGGGCAACTCCACCCCGGACCTTGTTCGGGGCGACCCCGTGGGCTCCCCACAGAGCGCTCTCTGGGAGGACTCCCTCGGTGGTGGTTTCCCTGCGGTGGTGTCCGTCCGTGGTCACGTGGCTTCGATCCGTCATCCCGCTGGAGGTTACAGAATGATAATTTCCCACCCCTCCATTTGCTCACTGACCTGTTTCTGAAAACCTAACTACTTGGTTGCTCGAGGGATGACTCCTAGAGCAGAGGCAGGATACAGGCTTGAATTTTTCCCTTTATTGTCCAGTTTCCAAAATCAGGAGCCGATTCCCTACTCAGCATCCTCCAAAGGTGACCAGTGAGGGTGCTGAGCTTTTTGGTGTCATCATGAGATCGTGGCCTTGAACATAGCTGATGTGTCTTAGTCACTGTGGCCACTGCCCCCTTGGTGCTCAGGTAGACCCACTTCTGGGCGGCGGGGGCCTCCTCCAGTTTGCTTCTGAGTCCCTTCGACATGAGCAGGTCCTCTGTGAGCAATCCCTTGCTTTCTGGTGTGACAAGACACTCTGGGCTCTTCTTTTTTTTTTTTTTTTAAGATTTTATTTTATTTATTTGAGAGAGAGAATGAGATAGAGAGCATGAGAGAGGGGAGGGTCAGAGGGAGAAGCAGACTCCCTGCCGAGCAGGGAGCCCGATGCGGGACTCGATCCCGGGACTCCAGGATCATGACCTGAGCCGAAGGCAGCCGCTTAACCGACTGAGCCACCCAGGCGCCCCATTTTTTTTTTTTTTTTAAGATTTATTTATTGGGGAGAGAGAGAGCGTGCATGTGGAGGTGGGGGAGGGGCAAAGGGAGAGAATCCCAAGCAGACTCCCCGTTGAGTGCGGAGCCTGATGCAGGGCTGCATCGCAGGACCCTGAGATCATGACCTGAGCCGAAATCAGGAGTCCAGTGCTCAACCAACTGAGCCACCCAGGTCCCCCTCCACCCAGGCTCCACTTAAACATTTCCTGCCCCTGTCCTGGAATTAGCCATTTCCCCTGGCTCCTGTTGGTCGAAAGTGGTTTTTAGAAGGTAAATAAGGATTCTGGGGGTACTCACTGCTGTCAGTGTTTCTAGACCTTTCCAGTGGGCAGAGGTGGGGCATCCCGAGTTCATTCAGATAGTTTGAATTCACATCCAAGACCATGGGGTTTTTTTTGTTTGTTTGTTTTTTTAATAATGATGAAGTGGGGTGATCTAAAACTTGCCATCTTAACCATTTGGTGTGTGCCCTTCAGTGGTGTTGACCCGTTCACGGTGTTGTGACGCCGTCACCACCATGTGGCTGCTCATGAAGCTGAAGCCCTGTTCCTGTGAAACCACAGGTCCCCCTCCCCTGGTGCCACCATCCGTCTCCGTGAATCTTACTCCTCCAGGGGCCTCGTGTAAGTGGAACCTTATGGTATTTGTGTTTTTGTGTTGGGTTGGCCTCACAGAGCAATGTCCTCCGGGTTCATCAGCTCATGGCAGATGTGAGCATCTCCTTCCTTCCACTGTGCAGACGGGCCACACTGTGTCTGTCTGTCCATCCGGCAGCGGGCCCTCGTGTGGCTGCTGTGAGCAACGGCGTGCGTTTTCTCTTCGAGCCCCCTGCTCTCAAACCCCGAGGGCTTCACCTGACCTCATCAGACTGTTCTCTGAGTCTCCCTGCTGCCCATCCTGGTTCTCGCGAGCGACATGGGCAAGGCCTTGTTTGTTTTATCCCCAGGTCACACACGCAGCGGCCTTGGGATGTGGCCCCCGCACGGCCCCGCTGTGTTTGCTGGTTCCTCTACGCTCGGGGGAACCGATCCCACGAGGGGCGTACGGTGACGTGACTGTGCGTTTTCCCCTTCACGGCTACGTCACCAACTCAATACAGACTTGCTGCGTGTGTTTCTTGTCGCTTGAGATCTTGAGAGATCACTTCTGTTTCCGGTTCACTTTTTCTTTTGACCCAATTTCAGATTCACAGGAAGGTGCCAAGAAGAATGCAAAGCTAGTTTTCAGCTAGAGTGTTCCCAAAGATAGCATCTTACCATGTTTGTCTGCCTGTCGGTCTTGTATCCTTCCTTCTGTCCACCTATGTGTTTTATTTTCTGACCCTGTTTGTGGTCTCTGCGGACACAGTGTCCCTTGGGCTCCAACTGCTTCTGTGTATTTCCTGAGAAGCGAGCATATTCTCTCACCTAACAGTCCAGGTATCACTCTCTGGAATGAATGGGGATGCCAGACAGTTATCTAACCTGAGACTGCAACACATGCAGTCATGTCCTGGAATTTCTAGCAGAAGGTCCCCGGTCACACGTTACACGCAGGTGTCCTGTGTCCTCAGGCTCCTGTCACCGAGCAGGGATGTTGACATTCTCCAAGAGTGCAGGTCCCTCGGTTTGGATGTGTCTGATGTCCCCATGGGGAGATCAGGTAAGGAGCATCACAGGAGTGATTCTATATCCTCAGTGCATCCGTCAGGAGGTGCACGATGTCATTTCGTCCTATTGACACGTATTGTAAAGAGTTCTTTCCTTTTTTTAATTTTTTTTTCAAATTTTTATTTGAGAGAGAGAGAGTGCACGCATGAGCAAGGCGGTGGGGCAGAGGGAGAGGGAGAAGCAGGCCCCCCGTTGAGCAGCGTGCCCGACATGGGGCTTGATCCCAGGAATCCTGGGATCATGACCTGAGCTGAAGTCAAATGTTCAACCGACTGAGCCACCCAGGTGCCCCTAAAACTATTTAC